GGGGGGGGGGGTTTTGCCCCCCCAGGGGGGGGGGGGGGGGGGGCGAAAAGCCAACATCCGGAACTACATCTGAGTCGGTGAATTATCGGCAAGTCACCCATATAAAATACCAGGAAACCGGATTCCAAATTAAAAAAAAAAACATGAGAACTATACACGCCTTCCCGCTTGTGGCAGCGGTCACCTGTTCGATTGGGCTTCCGAGGTGTATGGAACAACTCGAACGTTTGACCATGTCCAAAGAGCGTATGATCCGATGAGCTGGACACCCACGGTTTTGCACACCACACTGTTTCACAAGTCAAACTTCCACTAGCCGAATGCTCCGGCTATAAATCCCTTGATAAAATTCAATTGCGTTAACTCGGCAGCATTCCACTCACGTCCAAAAAAATGGACAAAGTTCTTTGTTATCGTGGTTTGCTTTACTCGCTGTCTGAAATCAGACTCATTTGAAACAAAATGCATACTTAGTATCACTAATTAGATATCACTCACCGGTATCTGAAAACGTAAATCCGTAGAAGTGATCGATCAATGTCCGATTCACCCGCATGCCCAGCTCAGCCAAGAAGTTTTTCAGGTTCTGACCATCCAAATGTTGGCGTGCCTCGTGAATGACTTGGGTAAGATAGTTCACTATACGTTGACAAGCCTATTTCGGGTTCAAAAAAGTTTGAAATTTCTCCGATTCAGGTGATACAGAGAGGAGAGGAGTATCCACCAAAATAGGGCGATACTTGCAAACAATGTGCCTTTATAATATTCTGACGGGACTTTCTACCGCTTAAAATGACTCACTTGAATGTATCCAGCACACCATAAAAAAGCGAGTATGTCAGTTTATCGAATCACATTAGGAACAGCATAGTCTGTATGGTGCTGTGGAATTTGTCAAACTACTCTATACCGTGCACTAAAACTTGGGGCTTTTGTTGGTATTGTTAATGCCAACCTGGTGTGCCGAATGCAGTTATAAGGAGATTCATCAAGGTTGTCGTTGACCAAAGATATAAAGATGAATACCTGTGCTTTAATCATCAAACCGCCATTGATTTCCTTCACTTTTTTACCTTTCGCACGCCGAGCCATCAACTCTCCGGTTTTCACAAGTTCACCAATGGATGTGGAACACACTTTGTTTTTTTAAGCAATTTATTCCTGTGATTTCACCGTGCACTTTCAATAGACTTATGGGTTTTCATATTTGATATAGATAAACTTTCTAACTCCTATGAATCCGATAAATCCAACTTTTTCTAATAATTTGAAAAAAAAGACCATATTGCAACACTGCACGATTTATGTCCAGGACGATTTCGCTGCATCTCAACATGGCGCATACTGCAGAAAAGACAGTGTTTATATAAGGCTTTAGCATGGAAAAAAAGTAAAGCAAAATACAATAAAACAGACAAAACATAGAAAAGGGGGAGGGGTAAAAGGTTTGTCACCAGGGTAGGGATAGGCTAACATAAAGTTCTTTTTGCTGATGGGGGGGGGGCTTTTATCGATTAATGGCAATTGTTTCAGCAAACCTCAGCAATCTTGCACCTCGTGACTGGTAGACGATCCGAAACGCTGTGTTTCGGTCAATCTGGTGTTGCGCCATCAGCAGATGTCGAGCAGTGGCTGAGGTTCTTGTAGTTTCGACCGTCGTTTCTATGCGACTGACTTGATCTCGATGGGGTCATCTGATTTTGGAATATGTTCCATCACCTGATTGAGTAATTGTACATCTTTTCTCCCAAGTAGGTCGCTCCGCAACCACATTGGAATTGGTATATTAGATAACAGTTGGCGTACAGGGGTAGACGTTCTGTTACCGGGAGTGAGTGTCCTGGTTGTCTGGTAGACTATTTGGAGGTCGGCTGCATAATAGGTTCGAGCGATTAATGATCTGTCATTTGTTGAGCAGGCGGCTTACGTCATCGCCTTTGAACTGAAGTACATTGTACCATAACGACGTTCACGGTGAGCAATTTTAAGAATACTTTCATATTTGAGCACTGGCATGATTATGTATTAGTTTTTCATGCGCCTACCATTCAATGCATCACTATACTGTTGAACACAAATCCAGACTGTTTTGCCTGTGCCACGGAGTGGGAGAGAAAATTAACGCCTCTAGAGACGCTATGGAAATTAGTGAAGATAAAAAAATAGCTAGCTTTCGGTTTCGTACCATATGGAGCGTATCTGTCATTTCATCACAAGTGTAATAAGTGACACCCTAGAGTTTTCCGAGGACAGGTACTGACAACGCTGCTTTAGTCACGTTCGGAACACAACTGGCGGAAGTTACGCTGGACCGTGTATTACTAAGCTTTTCCAAAAGCCGACAGAGCCATTTATTTTTACGTTGCGGTCTATTCTTCACCAAGTGCCAACAGAATCCGACGCTCACCAAGTTAAAAAGAAAATATGTATAACCTGAGGCCGCAGTAACAGGTCGAGCGTCATTTGTGTGAGTCGGAAAAGGCGCTCTGACAGCACGAAGGTGGCACCGTGTTTTTCTAGCAATTTCTCGGCGTCACAAAGCAGCTTCCACAGATTCGTCCTCAATCACCTATTCAGTGAAAAGAGAAACCTTTTTTTAAACAGTTTACATGATTGGTGGTGTTGGGCTTATTATCAACCAAGTTACCCAACTACCACACGGTCCATGTGTTGTCATTTGATAAGTGAAGTGGTAAAATTATTTGAATCATCCGTAGCCGGAAAAGAGGTTCAAATTACTGTTATGCAGTTCGAGGATATTAGGACGTTGCGGTGGTTCTAGTGTTACTTTAGCCGAACTCGTAGACACGAACCAACGAGGTTTGGATTGGTTCTTCGATGGTCTTGTTTGACTAATATTATCTTACCCTCTTTACAGCAAATTCTTAAGGTGAGAATAGTGCACACAGGTGAGAAACGAAGTCCATGCACACAGCCCACATGCGTGTAATAACGAGGGGCTTCATCTGAGTAGACTCCTATCAAGTAATTAGTTGCTGAACCCGGTTCTACCTATTATCCCACGCACTGTACGTAGTGGCGGTATTCCTCTCTCACTATTCACGGGGCATGTGCTCCCGAATCGCCTCATTTAGTTCCGCCTGTGTATCGTTTAGTGATGATCAGTCGGGCATCTTTGATCTCAATCGATCCATTGATTACAGAACTCATAATGGTCATAAAAGCTCTTGCGTTAAATTTGTCAGTGAGATTCTAGACGATCCTATTCGTTCACATCCCGATCCATTCTTCTGTCGTTCCCATCCGTCCACAAGCTCTAGTTTTCGGCTCTACTCTCTCGTATTGAGATTTACAAGAATTCCCCTGTACCCTACCTAGCCCGACGCCTAACCAAAAAGAAACAGGTCGCAGGTGAATTACACCAGAATTTCTTTACATGAAACAATTGCCAGTGACGTTCTTTCCTTTGAATACTTTATTTGTATTCGTATATTTTATTCGGCGATCGACCAGTGGGCATTATAACAAATCTAAGCTTATACAAGTTATCAAAATAAAAATTTCGCTGATTCCTGAAAGTTCCACATTATAGAGCAACATTGAATATTCTCAACCAAATGGCCAAAAGTTTAGCGTCACTAACTTGCTGGGAAAGCTTCAAATGGCATCTCGGTTCTATTATTGATAACGAATACACTGCAAGCTTATAACAACTCACGCTGGACGGTGGTCCACCCACAGGGGTATTCTCATTCTGTCCGGACAATTCAGGACGAAAATCCGTTTTCCGCTGCTCGTTCGACAGAATATGTTGCACGTGACCAACGATCAGATTGAGACATCGATCCAAGCCCAATTGCAGTTTACCTTCGAGCTCCACTTGGACGACGGCACGTTTACTGGATACATCTTGAGCATAGCTTGGACTGGTGCTGAAGGCCGAACCATGCAAGGTTTCCATGGAGGGAACTTAGCTTCAGGATGCAAAACTGGTCACTGACCATGTCAACAAGCCGATATATGAACCGCATGGGATGAATAAGGTTGTTAAGTGTTTTTATTAGCCAAAGATCATCTCCCTGGGGTTACGGGGTATTTAGCTTTTGAGAGAACTATCGATGGCACAGAACAAGGTATAACTCAGACCATTCTGCGCAATCGCAAATTATAAACAGGAGCATCTTAATTTAATCGACTGATGAGCGGTGTTTCTGGAATGTAAAACATCACATGAGTTCCTCATTTTTACATACCGAATCACTAAAGTGGTCTTCGTTAGTCAATATGGATTTTAAGTGGTTTATTTACTTTTCTCAATCATGGACACAAAGCACGTTGCAGTGATTTGAACCATCCAAGTGATTTACAACATAAACCCCATATTCAAGAGACTTGTTAGGGGGACTGTGGGCGAAAATCAGTTAGGATTGAGTCTATTGACCCTGCACTTAAGGAGTGGGGGAGCGTAGGTATGCAGCGTGAAACCGTTGTATAGTTTAGTGACAGCAGGTTGATAGGGACGGTTGAGTGCCTGTGTACGCGGATGGTCAGATAAAAGTTGCAGAGGAAGCAACTGTCCAAAAGAATAAACATTCAAGAAGCAACGGTACTGAAGAGACAGCAGAACAAATGCCCGGCGATGGTCTAGTGACGGTTGAGGAGGGGTTGTTGATCAGCCAAGCCGCCTTCCGTTGAACCCGGTGGAGAGAAAGAGCATCAGATGAGGCCCAACCAAACGGAAGTCTGTCGGTTTCAGGTGCAGGGTAGATCTGAGCTTTGTACAGTATGTGTGCTGAGGTCACGAAATGGCTATAGAGACTGATAACGGAATTCATTTCACTGCGAAGAAATTTACCGACTGGTTGAACTCCGTGAGTTGTCGTCATGTTTTAACACCACCCCGATATCCAAAACCGAATGAAGCAGCCGAGAACTTGGTGCGAAAAGTGCATTAATGAACTGGGCGGAGTCGTCGATAGCTTCTTGATACAACATCGTAACGCAGTAAATTCAGCTATTGGACATAGTTTAGCGAAGCTGTTCAACATTCAAATACACCGGAATAATCGCGTAAACTTCGCATTTGCGAAAGTTGTGTATCATTGTGGTAACAACTTACGACCCTCGAGAGGTATTGGCCTAGACGGATCGGTATTCGACATTGTTGATGCCTGCTTTTTGGGCGGTTCTTGATTGAACACTCGACTAATAGGGCACCTCGCACAGCTCTAACAAAACACTAATCCCAAACCTCTATCAGAGAAACCGCTAAAATTGTGCCACCACAACTGACTAGGATGCGTGACTTCATTCACATTACGACACATCAAGTGCCCCCTCAATAATGTTTAACAATATCACCAAATCAAGAGGGGCATACCTGACCAGAGGCATGATAGATTCATCAATTGTCTTGCCAAAAAACTGGAAAATGGAGGACGCATCGTGAACCACAGAGAAGAACACAAGGTTCGGTGCCAAATATCGTACATCCGCCACTTGGAGGCCTGAACGATCAAGACAAAAGCAAAATGTTGGAATGCGGATACTCCACAGTCGACAATTAAAAGAAAAGTGACAACGGAAAACTCGTATGAATAAGCTGCGGCTGTGTCCCATACAGTTTCGCGTGAATCGGCAAAGTAGGGTGGAAGCGATGACCGCATTTAAGTACGAGGCAATTCATGATGAAACAAATAAATCCATATCCGTACAGCTCATATACATGGTACCCGAAACGCGGTTTCATTTGTTCTAGCTCATCGAGCCCGTATTCTTCCCTGCAAACATCTAACCTAGCTCGATGAACCAAGAAAGATAGAGCGTTTGTATTCGATAAAGTTCAATGAACATACGCATCGGGGACAGGAGAGGGAGCATTGTCTGTGGATGTAAATGGTGTGCTATTCCCGAAGTGACACATTTCACGCATCAGACCTCGTTTATAATCCAATTACCACTACAAAAGTCAGCTTGGACAGGCAAAAAGGCAAGCTTCATTCTGCCAACTGAAACAATATTTGGCTCTCAAATAGCCCATGGGTGTAGCCAAGATAAGTTATAAATTTGAAGGAAAATGGTTTTATCTAAAGGGCAGTGCCCCACATGATATATATATATATATATATATATATATATATATATATATTACATCGGCTTGTGAACAGGCATGGTGCCAATGCCACAACAATATTAACAATAACAATAATGGGGGATAGATGGATTGAGATACAGAGCAAAGTGGAAAGAGCGTGAAACAGTTAAATACAGGAAATGCAAGATAAGTGGGATAACAAAACCTTTTTGTGTTTCACCGTACACTTTTTGATATTTTTTGTGTATCGTTGTACTAGTTTTAAGTAGACTGTCAAGAATGCCAGAAAAATATAGGCAATGGCATTTGGCTCAAAGAAATTGGTGTTATCCGAGCGGACCTCTGCCACAATGGAATTTACTGACTAAGCTACTGAGGGCCTAGACTGAACTCGTTCATGCAGTTAGTCATGCCAGCATTCACGCCGGAGCATGGATGTCGATGTACCGATCCGTTTGGAAGTGATTCGCTTCCTTAATCGACTGACCGATGCCAATTTATACCGCGTTGTTCACACGATCAACGGTGAAGGATAATAACGTACCCGGGTAGAGCGGGGGGGGGGGG